CGCATAACGGTCTCTTCGCCTGCGCGTATAGCTTTCGTCTTTATCACGCTCGAGGTCTTCGCGCTGGAGCGCCGTCGGTCGTGTTGCTCCCTGACGTGTCTCCTTAGCGCGGGGAGGTCCGAGTCACATGCCCAACATAATCTATTCAAATCTTATTAATCAAATTATTTATATGATAATCACGTTCGGTGGAATGGGTTATAACTAAAATATCAAAGCTACTTTAACGAACTACGTGGACTTTGATCTCGTATTACAGGTACGTAGGCAACCGATAAGGTTCGTGTCCAACTAACTAATTAACTTTATCTTTAAATGAACGCCAGTAGGCATATAATAAAATCATAAATTAATACGATGAAACTCGGTCCAGTGGGATCCTATATTTACCAATAATTATTAAAAACACCGAACTCTTATAAACTCGGTCCAGTTGCTTAACTTCCCCACATATAACCGTACTCCCGAACCTAGATTTCTATATCGCAGACCAAGCCTCAGTTCTGGCCCTAAGGTTAGAGCCTACCGAGGAGTGTTCGATCCACTCCAAGTAAGATTGATGGCGACTCCAAAATGCAAACACGACCTGGCCCAAGGTACGGTTGCGACAGATGGCGATTCCGCTGGGGACCATTCGAGAGTGGAGCTACATAACTAAGTTCGATAAGTTTTCTAACTTTCAATCACATGTTTGGTGTTTACTACTTATTTGCGCAATTATATTTTCGTAATCTAAATTATGCATTCATACACAAAAGCTCTATGCCCGAGCTATCCCTTTAGAAAATCGAAAGGAGTACCGTGACATCCACAGTAGTGGTAGTCACACATAACTTCCCAACCAAGTTGAACTAGGATCCGAGGATGATCTCGAGGTATCCAGTCAGTTCTAAAGGGCTACGACAGGATACAACTTGAGAGCCAAATCCCTAGGAATTCTTCTGCCAGCATATAGTAAGCATAGAAGACTCCCTAAATCGTCCAAAACAATCCCAAAAGCCACCCTAAAACCATGTCGTTACCCCTCCCGAATACCCTAGCTATACCTGAATAGGTTGATATTCTTTTTGTCTAAATGTATGCTTGCTTACATGTGATGGTATATGTGTTATATCTCTTAATCGTAAAATTATGTGATTGTATGAATGAAAAATGTTTTCAAAGCTTATAAACATCATTCTCTCATAAAATTTTCTTTCACTCATTCATAATTGATCATAAAAAGATTTAAGAAAAATTGCATGCATCCCTAAAAATCATATTTGCATTCATACATCATTAACATTTTGCATAAGCATCAATGTTTTTTTTTTTATCAAAATAATGAATGCCACTTCGGATCCTTTTTTTTTAAACGGATTTATCTCCTACAAAATAAAATCCATCCAAATTCAGTTTTATTTCCAAGATAAGTCATGAGATTGTCATTATAAGCAATTATAAGCACCCCACTGGTGCTAAGATTTGGGACACCCCACTTGTGTTGAGCGATTATTAACACCCTGCTACTGTCAATATTTAGAGTACACTGGTGTTGAGAGTGTACTTTTTTTGCTAAAATCGAAATATAAACACCCTACTGGTGTCCATGATTAATGTGAGCTAATAGTCAAAAGGTGTAATGAGTATACGACATCATGCTACTTGTAGAATCTCATCACCACCATACTTGACTTTCGCCAACAAATTAAGACTCAGTTTACCTGAAGTCAAATAGCCAAACCCTAATGAATAGGGAATCAAACATTACTATCATGGCAAGAAAATTCTCACAGAGTCTCATGACTAGAAGATTTAGGAAGATCAAGGATCTAATGTATCATAACCGAGGGATCACACGCATGAAGCACTCATATACTCAGTTCAGGAGCTTACATCCTTACAGGAATAGAGTGTCCATTAAACTTACACGTCAAAATCCAATTGTGAGATATTTACGCAATATCGGCAAGCACATGGCGTCAGAATCCTCACTTTTACCAAAAAAGAATAGCCAACTCAACCAAGCTAATGAGAAGTAGACTCTCCACCTTTAGATACTCGTCCTACCAAAGAAAAATGCTAGATCAAGGAAGAAAGAAGCATAGATGGGGGCATAACAAAGTCAAGTAAGTCTCACAAATAAACAAAAAAAAAAGAATGAAAAAGAAAAAATGTCGCGGGACTTACAAATTAGGTGCCCCTATTTAGCATTTGAAGTACAAAATGTCTGCACCAAGCCAATGTCTTTGCCGATCAATCTCAAGATACAACAAAAAAGGACCTCGAGCAGGAGCTTTCATGATAAGAAAGCTTGATAGCCAAAATCATATCATCCAAGGTGTTCATCATTTTGAGTGCAAGTAAGAATTTGAAATTTACCACAGGAAAACTACATCTAATCATCATTGGCAGGTCAAACAAGAATCTCACAGGTCCATAGCCAGATTCCACTCACAAAATTCCCAACCTCGACTCGTTAAACCAGAATTTCGAAGACATAGGGGGCAAAGCAGTTGAAGACAAACTCCCCAAATATACTCCAAAACCACCAACATTTTTGAACCAGTCTTCGTCAACAAAAAGATCAAGATAATAGTGGGGGCAAAGTAGAAATCCCTCTACGAGAAACTTCACAAGGATAAAGTCAGCATTTTGCATATCTGCCATCCGAGTTAACAATGTTTTCAGATGAGAAGACTCTTACCTTCGGAGCCATATCATACAAAAGCCTCGGTTCATGGGAGATCAATAACGTCCACGACAAAACTGGGAGGAGTTCTTCTAAATCAATTACATCAAAGGCCTCCATATTGAATAAATCTTCACAAGGAACATAGTTGGCCACCAACATAAAAGAAGACATCTCAAGGTGACCACAATCTTAATTGTAGTTGAAATGTCGTACACTCAAATCACCTATAGGAATGAGTGGGAGCAAAATAAAAATGAGAGTGAAAGCGAGCAGAATAAAAAATGAGAGTGAAAGCGAGGGCTTACTGATATTCTCATAGCTTGACTTGCACTTCTCTTACAAACAATTTTTTTTTAGCAACATGGCAATATCACGCAAAAAAGATTTTATCCAGTTTGCACACACTTCTAAAAGGGAAAGTCTTTATATGGCTTTCCATTTCACTGTTCTAATAAAAGTTTCAAACATTTTTGTGTATGTCTTAAGTCAAGATTGATAGTCACTCTTTGTTCAGAAGAATAGAAAGTGAGTACAAGATCTTTGGGGGCAAAACTGGTGCACCATGGAAGATGGGCAAGTCTGAGTACACAAGAATCAAATTAATCAACTTTCACTCATGAGTTGATGAGGAAATCTCATGAGAACATTCATATCTCATCAAGCAAACCAGGCAAACGATTATACTTCAACTGCATAGCAAGAAGGAAGTCCTACTATACCGCACATTCCAAGAGATACACAACTCTAAAACATGTGGGCCCAAGTCTGGCCGAAAAGAACGATGAAGTTGTACACATCCTCACCTCACCCCATAAAGTATATGTTTGCACCGATACCACGAAAAAGATATATATCGAGACAACAAGCCGAAAAGTCACTCCATGCCTGATCGACAAGAGGATTAAAGCAGCACACATCATCACTTCATCTTCCAAAGCATACATTCACACAACTACCACCACAAAAATAAGTTTCAATAGAGAAAGCTGAAACTCTCTCCAACATAAGCAATACCAAGGATTGAGTTGATCCAAAGGAAATGACAGTTTTGGAGGATGAGCAATTTAAAGGAACCTCGAGGTAAAACATAAAACAATAACTAAAGCAAAAACAAAACAACCTACTTGCATACCAATTGTCAAAAGCATCGTATCGTTTTTTTCACTCAACATTCACGACTTCACTAGCATGACAACACACATAATCATTTCAATACCCACTGCATAACATCATCATACATCAAGGTGATTTTTTATTCATCACAATCATTTCCTAAAATTTCTATGATGTCCATATAAAAGTATGTGAAAACTTTTTATGCGAAATACCACTACGCATTTACCAAATGTTAGCTTGATCTTTATCGCTAACACTTTCTCATTGTTCTATTTGATTTCTATCATAGACAATTTGAGTACAATATCATTTACAAAATTTTTAGTTTGATCTTTATCACTGACATCTTCTCATTGTTTGATTTGATTCCTATCACAAGCAATTTGAGTACAACGTCCCTTACCAAATGTTAGCTTGATCTTTATTGCTAGCAATTTCTCATTGTTCTATTTGATTTCTATCATAGACAATTTGAGTACAATATCCTTTACAAAAGTGTTAGTTTGATCTTTATCAATAACATCTTCGCATTGCTTGATTTGATTCCATCACAAGCAATTTGAGTACAACGTCCCTTACAAAATTGTTAGTTTGATCTTTATCAGTGACACTTTTCTCATTGTTCTATTTGATATCTATCATAGAAAATTTGAGTAAATCGTCCCTACAAAATTCTTAGTTTGATCTTTATCAGTTACATCTTTCTCATTGTTTGAATTGATTTCTATGCAAACAATTTGAGTACAATATCTTTTACAAAATTGTTAGCTTGATCTTTATCGCTAACACTTTCCTTATTAAATCACAAGCAGTAGCAGTGATTTATAGTCAATAGTCTATAAAAATCACAAGCAATAGTAGTGATTTATAGTCAATAGTCTATCAAAATCACAAGCAGCGGCTGTGATAATTAATGATCTAGCCTAATTTCAATAAAACTAATTGTGTTTTCTATGAAACAGATTAGCATATTAAGAATCAAATGCATACAAAAACAACCATTTACCAAAACTCAGATCTTTAAATCATATCCAAGTTCACTAAAAACAATCTTCATGTATAAAATCCAGATTCACAGATAATGAAAATCGCAGATTAACAAGTAAAAGTAAGCAAAACCATTTTTCCATGAACTTAGATCTACAAACATACTAAAAACCTACAATAATATAGTCTTTTATTTAGTTCAATCCCCTAATAATACTAAGCCGATTCTAGGATTAAACTCACCCAAATCTCTGCCTTTTCCAAACCTGTACGAAAATGTATCAAACAATCAGAAAAATAAAGTAAAAACAAATAGGAAAGTAGGTACGAAATCTAGGTAGTAACGAAGCAGATCTCCTCTCTTCATTCTCCGGTGGTTGATCTTCCTTCGCCGTCAGGGCCTCGCCATAGTCCAAAGCCAAAAGCAAAAAAAAAAAAAAAAAAACCACAAACATAGAGAGGGACATAAAATTTTTAATAATCAATATTAAACAAAAAAAAAGCATGCATCTTACCTAGATCTAGTCGTCGTCGACGAAATAACCCTCATCGTCGGCGGTTTCTTCCACTTTTCCGAAACCAACCCCAGAAAATCCCAAAACAACACAAGTCCATATTAGAATCTTGAGTAACGCAAACGAAAAACACCTAAAATAATTCAACACACAAGACAACCTTACCTCTATCGGTCGTAGCCGTCAAGATTCCGTCGTTCTTCCCATCGCCGTCGCCGTTATTTCTCCCCTTAGCATCGTCGTTCTTAGAAAGAAGAAGGGTAGGGAGAAGACAGATCGAGAGAGAAACAGGGGAAACAAGCGAGAGAGGAGGGCGAGTTGTTCTATAATTGTATTTTATTTTTTTCACTTTGTTCTTCCAGATGGGAATAGAAAAAGGAGAGAGAGAGAGAGAGAGAGAGAGAGAGAGAGGTAAGGGATGACGGCTGCTAGGGTAGAATAGATTAGGGTTCCTGATAGACCGATAATTACACATAATTTCGCCCCTATTCTGAAGCCGTTTGTGATGTGGAATCTCGTGTTTTAAGCCGATTTCACGCTAGGTTGTGTGTTTATGTCATATTTCAGGACCCGGCGTTGGAATCGAGGCGGAGAAACGAGTTTTGGGTCGAAAGGAGCGAAGTTGGGAAGAAGGGGGCTTATGAGCCAAAATACCCGGCCAAAGGCAGAAATACCCGACCGGGTATTTTCTGGCCATGGTCGGGTAATTTTCACTTCGGGCGTCCGTGAGAAACAGAAGGGGGCCCGGGCAAACAGCTTAAACCCCCGGTCGGGGATTATGGAAAGTGACAGGGGATTTTTCCCTTGCATGAAACGGTGCGTTTTGATTATACCCGGTCGGAATCCAAAATACCCGACCGGGTATTTCGACCGGGTATCGTGACCAGGCAGCTGATAAAAGGAAGAAGAAGGCCAACATTGAAGGGTTCCGAGTTTTTGAGAGAGAAAGCGACGAACCAGAGTTCCCAAGTGCCTTAGCTTGATCTTCATCACCATTGGAGCCCAGCTTGAGCTTGGAGAAGTGCCGATTAAACGTCCAGGAGCAGAAATCCATCTTCACAGTATGATTTCCGCGTCTGAATCTGCTTTTGCTTCTTTCTCTATGGAGTAGTTCCCCCATTCATCTGGGTATGGGGAACCCTAGATTTGTATGCTAGGTCTGATTGTATGAACCCAAGTACAGAGTTTGTGAATTGATTATATTCGATTGAGGTTTGAATGATTGAATGACTTGAATCCTGATCAAATTCCTGTTGTTTCTGCTTTAACCTAGAATGAGAATATCTGCCTAGGTTGATAGAGTATCCTTAATCGAAGGTGGCGAATTGGTGACTTTAGTCGAGGAGCCAATTCGCTATTCTGTACCGAACTCAATTCGGTAGTGGAGGTTTGGTTCGCTAGGGCCTTGATCTGTTTACTCCGGTGGAGGTTAGTCGCCGCTAGAGACTCAGATTGGGAGGGTCTGAAGACCTTTAGTCGAGACTTCAGACTAATTAAGAACCTTCCGCAGTATAACTTTCATGAAAACTAAACTTGGAAAATTGCAACCCGACTTAACTCCAGTCTAGGGGGAACCATATCCGGGTGACCTCTCTTGACTTGAACAACCGTTTAACTTGCTTTATGTTTTTGTTTGCTTGAATTTGCACTAAAAGTTCACTGCTAGATAACGAGAATTCGCCGAGTAGTCATCACATCTAGGACCCGGGTTGACCATAAAACCCAAACCCGCTATACTACGCTTTAGGAAGTGGTTACACTTGGCCATTTTCTAGAGTGACAGTAGGTGTGAGTCAAGTTTTTGGAGCCGTTGCCGGGGACGGTTAGGTTGTTGAAGAAAAGTGATTTCTGTTACTTTAGCATTTTCATTTTCGCATTGAGTGTTTGTTCCTTCCCACTTGTGCCTTCACGGGTTTGCATTGCTTGATTGTGTGCAGATAGTGCATGACCCGTAGCCAGTCGGGAGGTTTACTGCCGTTGAATCCTGAGATTGAACGCACCTGCAACCAACTTCGGAGACAACAGCGAGCTAGACGGGCTACGGTGGAGCGTAGAGATGGCCAATTGAGCAGCGAATCCGAGGACGAGTACGAGATGGAAGGCGAACAAAACCCACCTCCGGTGAACCAGATCCTGGGGAACGACCCCAATCCCCAGGGAGCTGGGGCCCATCATCATCCACCACCACCGGGTCCCACCTTGGAGTACTACTATACTCCACGGATTGCTGACATCCGCCCGGTTATCCTCTATCCGCCCATTCCTGCAAACAACTTCGAGATCAAGCCATGCTGGATTCAACTCATTACATCCTCTATCCAGTTCCATGGCTTGAAGGATGAGGAAGCCCGGGTACATCTTTCCCGTTTTCTGCAGCTGACAAACGGGTTCAAGTTGAACGGTGTCCCGGATGATGCAATCCGCCTTCACCTCTTCCCCCATTCTCTGGCGGGGAATGCTAAGAGGTGGTTGGAGACCCAGCCCCCATTGTCCATCACTTCTTGGGACGATCTGGCTGACAAGTTCGTGCACAGGTACTATCCGGCATCGAAGACCACAGAGATTCAGCGGGAGATCACTCACTTCCGCCAAGAGCCAGATGAGTCACTTCGTGATGCATGGGAGCGGTACATGGGATACTTCTGGCAGTGTCCCCATCATGGCTTCAGCGATGCATTCACAGTGGGGAACTTCTACAGCGCCCTCACTCCAGACAGCCAGAGGGTGATTGAGTCTCTATGCCCAGGAGGAGATATCCTTACTAAGACTCCACCCGAGCTGAACCAGATGATCAGTACCTTGGCTGCCCGATATCATTCTTGGGGACAGAAAAACAGAGGCAGGAATTCCCGGGACCGGGGTGTGCATGCTATGGAGGCCAGGTCCGGGTTAGAGCAGTAGGTGGCTGAGTTGGTGCAGACATTGAAGCAGCCTAACAGTCTCCTTCCGGGCCGAGGTGTAGCTACGCCTCCAGTAGCTCAGTGTCAGTGGTGTGAGAGCCCGAATCACCTGGTGGAGGATTGTCAATCTATGAGGGAGTCCTCTACTCCCCAAGAGCAGGTGGACTTCATCGCCAATGCTCGGCGCCTGGACCCATACAGCAGTACCTACAATGAGGGATGGCGCCAGCATCCCAACTTCGCCTGGAGCAGCAACAACACCAAACCACCTGGTTTCCCAGCACCAGCGGGTGGTTTTCAGCAGAGGCAGCCCTTCCAGGCTAGGCAGGGGCCACCACCACAGCAGCAGCCCTACCAGCCTAGGTAAGGGCAGCCATTCCAGCAGCCCCAGCGCCAGTTTGCTCAGCCTCCAGCAGCCGCAGCTCCAGATAATCAGATGGCTGATCTGAAGTACATTTTGCAGGCATTCATGACCACCAGTCAGGCGAATTTCACAAGGATGGATCAGAACATAGCCTCACTAGAGGCAGGCCAGAGAAACCAAGGTGCCATTCTGCAGGATCTACAGAATCATATTGGGAGCTTAGCTCGCCAGAACACTACCAGGGCAACGGGGACTCTGCCTGCCACCACTGTTCCTAATCCTCGTGACCCTCTCCAGCAGCTGGACGCCATCACCACCAGGAGTGGCAAGATCATATCTGCTGCTCCTGCCCAGCCCAGGCGAGACAACCCACTACCTGCTTCAACACCTCCAGCTGATACTGCAGAAGTGGGGGAAGGCAGCGAAGCACCTGCTCCCCAGCCGCAGCCTGTGGTTAAGTAGCATACACCCCAGCGCCCTTCCCCACTCGACTTCATAAAGACAAGCTGGAGACAGAGTTTGCCAAGTTCATGGCAATGTTGAAGCAGGTCAACATCAGCATGCCGTTCGTGGAGGCACTGTCGAAGATGCCCAAGTATGCCAAGTTCATGAAAGACTTCCTCACCAACAAGAAGAAACTTGGGGATCTTTCGACAGTGATGCTCAGCGAGGAGTGTTCTGCTATCCTGCAGAACAAGCTGCCCGAGAAGCGCAAAGACCCAGGGAGTTTCACTATCCCTCTTGTTATTGGCAGCATGCATGTAGGAAAGTCCTTGGCGGACCTAGGCGCTAGCATAAATGTCATGCCCTATAAATTGTTTAAGAAGCTAGACCTAGGTGAACCTAGAGCTACTAGGATGAGCATTCAGTTAGCTGATCGTTCTATCGTGCATCCTAGGGGTATCATTGAGGACTTGCTTGTTAATGTAGGTGCATTCACATATCCTGTTGATTTTGTTATTTTCGATATAAATGAGGATGTGGATGTGCCTTTGATTTTGGGTAGACCATTTCTCGCCACCGCCAAGGCGCTTATTGATGTGGATAGTGGTAAATTGATCTTGCGTGCTGGTGATGAACATGCTACTTTTTCTGTGTCTGACAATGGGAAACATTCTCATTTGCATGATGACATAGACTACTGTGATGTGCTTACCGATTTTGAGACCGCACTCGCCATCACGAGTGCGGGTACTGATGATGCTCTTGAGCGTTGTATTTTGCTAGGTGAGCAGGCATCGCAGGAGCCGCAGCTGGTGGAGCAGTTGGCCGCATTGGAGAGTGGCCCCTTCTTGGAGGGCGACAGGCTGTTTAAGCCGATCTCATCCTCCACTCGCATCACCACCTCCTTGGAGGAACCACCAAAGCTGGAGCTTAAGCCCCTCCCTCCTCATTTGAAGTATGCATTTCTCCGGGAGGGGAATAAGCTGCCAGTCATCATCAGCTCGACCCTCACACCCGAGCAGAAGACCAGACTGGTGGCCTTGCTGAAGCAGTACGAGCGAGCTTTAGCATGGAAGATCACAGACATCCGGGGGATCAGCCCCTCCTTTTGCTCGCACCGGATACTGCTGGAGGATGAGATGCGGCCAGTGAGGAAGCCACAGAGGAGATTGACACCGAACCTGGAGGCTGTGGTTCGGGCAGAGATCGTGAAGCTGGTGGACGCGGGGATCATCTTCGCCATTTCTAACAGCGAGTGGGTCAGTCCCACCCAGGTGGTGCCCAAAAAGGGTGGGATGATCGTGGTGCCTAACGAGAAGAACGAGCTCATCCCGGTGCGCACGGTGACTGGGTACCGTGTTTGCATCGACTATCGGCGTCTCAACGACGCCACTCGGAAGGACCATTTCCCGCTGCCGTTCATTGATCAGATGCTGGAGAGATTGGCGGGGCACGAGTTCTACTGCTTCCTGGATGGGATGTCCGGGTACTTTCAGATCCCTATAGCACCGGAGGACCAGGCGAAGACCACTTTCACCTGCCCCTTCGGCACATTTGCTTACCGGAGGATTCCATTCGGGCTATGCAACGCCCCAGCCACTTTTCAGCGATGCATGCTCGCCATCTTTGACCGTCTGG